GGCCGTGGCATGCCAAGCAAGATGGCCTTGTGTGCCATGCTCGGCATGTGTGCTGGGGATTGCTGACTCCTGGGCTATAATATGCTCAGACCAACAGATTCATTATTTAGTAAATTGCCATTGTTCCCAAAGATGTTGTGCCTAGATCCATTTCCAGTCTTTTGGATAGTTGGTTAAAGCATGGCTGTCCCTGCATTCCACTGTCTATCAGGATCTATGGGCATGAAGTGAACGACATGGGATGTACCAGTATCTGCTGAGCTAGCTGCTTCTCTGGAAGGGCAGCTATGCCAAGCTCTTCCATTTTCTATTTTATTAACCTTCTTTTTCCTTCATTATTGAGGAAAGAGGAGTCACTCACTGCTCTGAGACAGCTGACCAAGCCCACTCAGGATCCCCTCTGAACAGACTGACTATGTTCATTCAGTCAGGTGGAAGAGAATCAAAGTGCTAGTTTATGCTATACATTTAATGCATGTACTATCAGCCCATCAGTCATGCTTAGGATGTGGAAGGAGGTTCCAGTTCTTCACAACGCATTCAAATTCAGTGTTATGTATGTAAGTTCTGACAGAAGATGTCAGTACTACAGATACCTTTGCTTTCAACCCCATTTTCTGGTTTTTCTGGTATCCGAATGGCCATGTAGATACCTGGGCAGCAATATGCCATTACAGGTAAGAAAAGGCCAGCCCTGAAACTTTTTCATCTAAATCTTCCCCCCACCCCCAACTTTGGCATTAGAATAAAACCAGACCTGTATCCTGTCTTAGTTGGAGCAGGTTTTGCCTTTCCCTGTATATCCAGAAGCATACAGTTCAGCCCATTGTCCATTAAGAAATCTGCTACCTGGATCAGAGCCAGGTCTAGGCTTCTCTCAGGTGTAGAGGGTTGAAATGTGGAGTTTTGAATCAGACTATTACAGAGAAACGGGACCAGTTTTGAATTTCGGTTTGGGTATGTACCCCTCACCTATGCTGCATCCCCCTTTATGCTGCTAAGGAGGATTTAAGTGGAGCTCAAAGAAATTATTCCTGCTTGGTTTGCCAACCACTTTTAAATTAAATATCACAAAGTAAGGAAAGCATTATGTAGACGGGACAGGGAGGGACATGTGATCCGGGAAAGGATGTGGGAAAATGCCATCCCTAGAAGTAACTCAACATTTTGTGAAAGGGGAATTTTGCACTTGTTGATTAGCCATGTCAGCCTGCAAGAAGTCTTGCTGCAGTCAAAACAGTCAGTTTCCATGTCTGTCTATGGAGGGACATTTTAGGAGCATTTATTTAGTAAGAAAGATGTTTTCAAAGCTGAGCGCTAGAATGTCTGTTGGCAAAAATATAACCTAACTCAGAAAATAGAAGGCACAAGAACAAAATGTTAAACCACCCAGGGATAAATTTAGACTGGAAATTAGAAGAAGGACCTTTAGGGTTGTTGGTTGTAGCTGTGTTGGTCTAAGGGCATAGGCAGACAAGGTTCTCTGGGTAGATGTGATATCTTTTATTAAACCAACTAAATAGTTGGAAAAATTGTTCTTTGCAAGCTTTTGGGCTTCTTCAGGCCTTAGAATTTGGGCTTTGAATGTTTAATCCCTACTTACATGGCAGGACCCAGAGAAGCTGTGAGAGGGATTTCTACAGGGGGATTTCTGGGGAATCCCTTGGCGTCAGGTGTCTCAGGCACATTTGGGACTTTCCCTGACTAGCTTGGAATTTGGGACGGCCCTTCTAGGCTCATATTTGACAAGCTGTGCAGCCTTGCAGCATCAGGGTGATAGAGTGTGTTTTGGTCGTGGTGATCCATTTCAGGAAAGGGGCTAACACTGCTGCAAAGAGAGGAAGGATGGATAATAGGTGGAACAGACTTTTTTTTGTAATAGAGCAATTTTTGCAGATTAAATAGAAACAGCTACATAATAGTGCCATCACCTCTAGCAATAAGTTGGATCCACGGTGTCCCCTTATGAAACAGAAGGATCATTTTAGTGCATGTGAACCCCACCTTTGTGGTTCTTTTTCTTCTCATGTCTTTATACCACACTTGACCATTTTGTTATGCCTGTTTGTGCTCATTTATTGTACTTTGCGAGATCTTGCATTGTATATGTGCTTTCGAACAGAGGGCATTGCAGCAGGTGTTGCATGGTCTAAAGCTCTGTCCCACTGTTACAGGTGGTTGAACCAATGGTATAGCCCCACTACTTCATTAGTTCCTTGGAGCACCCAACTCTGGTGTTTAGGCAGTTGAGACATCACCACCTTTGCCATGTCACATTTGCCATGTCAGCCCCTGGTGGTAAACCAGGGGCTGACATGGCAAATGTGACATGGCAAAGGTGGTGATAAGGACTTGGTCTCTGGAATGTCCATTTTTATACTGGCAGGTGTTTTTTTCAGCCTCTTGTTCAACATCTGTAGTTGTGTCTCCCTTGGGTGTTACATTGAGTGGTTGAGTGCTGGTGAGGCAGTTCCTGTGTGACTTCAGTTTTTTGTGTGCTGCAGGATGGTTGTACAGTGGTTGTCTCACATCTTCAGTTTGTCTCAATCATCGTATCCTGCTAGCCACTGCTCTTCTGATGTCAGGCTGAGTGATGCCAGCCAGCAGGTACACGCTGTTTAAGCTGGTAGGGGTCAGACTGGAAGCGTTCCTGTCGTGACCCATCAGGTAATACCTGGTAATACCTGTGAATTCTGCTAGCACTTCAGACCACAATTTTGATCTTTGTGGTTACAAGGGATTCGATGCTATTGGCTTGCCTACTGGTATGGGGAGGTTTCCTTGAAAAGATCAGCAGCTGTACATAAGTTATTCCATTTATAAAGCTACATCTTAATTCAGGTGAAGTGCACCTGCTTGGGGGATTCCCCAGGACTGTAATACTGGGGCTCAGAAAGGCGTCCCGGCTGGAGGAGTGCATGTCAGAAATGAGAGATTTCTGCCTTTGACCAGGTCAGTAGACTGGATCTCTTCAGCCTTCACAAAAGATGGCTGAGGGGAGACCTTGTAGCCGCCTATAAGTTTATCAAGGGAAGACAAAAGGGAATTAGAGATTTGCTATTTACCAGAGCACCCCTAGGAGTAACTAGGAATAATGGGTACAAACTACTGGAGAGTAGATTCAGGTTAGACATTAGGAAGACATTTTTTACAGTAAGAGTGGCCAGAATCTGGAATGGACTTCCAAGAGAGGTGGTACTCTCACCTAACTTGGAGGTCTTCAAGAGGAGGCTTGACAGTCACCTGGCTGGGGTCGTCTGACCTGCCAGGGGCAGGGGGTTGGACACGATGATCCACTGGATTCCTTCCAACTCTGTAATCTATGAATCTATGAATCTTTTGCCAGTGAAGGAGCATAACACAGGGTGACTTCTGCCCTTCACAAGCCATGCTACGTTCCTTACATAGGAATGATCAAAACTAGCAGCAGAGCAAACCTCAGCTGTGCCAGGCACCAGTGTATGTTACACAACAGTTACACACAACCTGCTCTGTAAGCTCTGCTGGTAGCTGTGGGATATGTACTCATAGGGCACTGTGCCTGCTGCAGGGTAGCAAAGGGCTGGTGTGGCCAGGAGACGAACCTTGCTGAGACAAAGCCCTAGAGAACTGCATCCAGGGACTAAACCTACGTTAGCCTGGTGATGGACTAGATGAGCTGGCAGATTTTTCCTTCCCCATTTTTGGGATTCTTTGCCACAAAACCACCTGTTCCTGACCTCTGTGTTGACACTTGGTGCGATCAGCAATGCAACCTTTATTTTAGTTTTAGCAGCCTATTTTCTTCAATTTCCTAATCATGTCCTCTCAAATTTGCACACACCAGTCTCATCAGGCCTTGAGCTTGAGAGATACAGGAACCCAATTGCATTCTTTCCTCCTTTGTAGTTTGGCTGCCTCTGGTTAAGCATGTTTGCCAGGCAGCTGCATTGTCTGCTCCCTTTCTAGCATAGTCAGGTTCTTCTGACGATGAGACTGTTCCTGCCTTTAACATTC